ATGATTACCACCTGAAGACTAATCTTGAAAGTATATCCAACAGTCACAGGAGGGTGATCGCCCTCACCCACTTAATGGATCAGAGCTGCAGATGTGGTTCCACTGCTGTAACAGTTTTCCTGCCCATTCCTCTGCTCTGCACACCCTGAAAAGCCACTTCTGAGGATTATTGTTAAGGAACGTAGAGGAGCTGTATGGGAAGCAGTGCAAGAGGCTTTTCTTGCAAGGGGTAGCTGACAGAAATAGCACACACACACATCTTCTGCTAACATTAAGGGCTGTTTGGAACCAACTGGAAATTCCTGCACAGCCATATGACATCTTCTGTTACAAATCTTTCCACATAAATCAAAGTCCTTGAATATGGTAATGAAGTGATGACTGGCCACACAAACTGGATACACAGCCTATCCTTTATTCAATCAATTCTAAAACTATAGCCATTATTTGAGTATACTTGTTTCACAAAGGCACATTTGGTGAAAGCAATGACGTGGCTGCTGCATATTTAGCCTTTCAGTGCATTATCATACCATCAAAAAAAGAATCAGGGTACAATCATATGCATGCTTGACAGAAAAACAGCATACAACTCATAGCATTCCTCAGCTTTTCTTCTTTAAAGGCACTCCCTCACATACTATCTTTAATATCACTGTCCTTTTAAAATCCTACGGAAATATACAGAAAACAAAGTTTATTGCTCCCCTATATTTGGGAAAGCAGTTGACTAATAGAATGACAAAATTTGTTCTATTTATTGAACAATATTATTCTATGTTATTCTATTAATACTATCTAACTATAGCTCTAGTTAAATTATCCACATCCCTGGCTAAATTGACTTTCGGAAATTTTAAAGCACATTGAAAACAGGAACTATCACTGTGGCAAACACTGTTTTCATACAGCCCTTGCTTCTTCCTACAGCAGGATTCTACTCCTCCTTTCAGAACCCATTAAATAAAGTCAGTAATAGCTACTAATATATCCCTCATAGGAGTATCTCTGAATCTGAGATCCAAGGCAATTCTTTTCCAAAGTCAGCTCTTTTTTTCTTTTTCAAATTAATAGCACTTTCTAAATCAAAAGGCTAACCTTGAAAAAATAAGGCAATGGACAGAACAAACAAGTGCAATACATCCAAACTAGAAAAATGCAAAGCTTAGAAAAAGGAATCAACCACTCTTTTTAACATTAAAAAAACTTTTTATAGAATACTGGCCTAATAATATTTTCTATACTAGAGAGGTATAAATAAATGTGTGTGTTTTTGAAGGTATTTAGCTCCTTTTTTGCTCTGCAAAAATGTCAGCTATTGGATAGCTCAGAGCAGGAAATTCCCTAAAACCTATCTGCTTCTCCTTACTTTTAGCATTAGATAGCAGAGTGCGAGAGAAGCAACATAATATCCATCCAAGGCCAAAGAGAGAGAGAGAAGAAAGGGTCAGTCCTCTAAGTCACCTCCAAGCCTGAGCCCATTCTCTGCAGGAAGGTAATACAGCTACTATTCTCTGCTACCTGGGAACTGCAGGCCATCTGGTTAGGAGCAGGAAAATACTCATGATTATACGACTGGAATACAGAAGTAAAAATGGGAAGAGGAACAGGTAGGGATACCAGGCAATATTGTTGTATTGTCCAAAGGCAAGATAAACCTGTGAACAGATTATCTGTCTCTATAATAAAAGAGGCAGATGCTACCTGCAATACTCATGTAGAAAATTACCTGTAACACAACAGAGAATCACTGAACTATTCTGTGGACTCCATGAAACATGAACCCAGAAAATAATTAGCACATGGACAAGGACAGTACCACAACACAGAGAAATGCAAAGATGTGCATGTTGTCACCACAGGCAACTTTTAGTTCAGTGTTTCTCCACTCCAAAAGGGTTTTTGCAGTATTCCTGTTGCTGTGTTATGCTTTAATAAAGCACACACCTTGTGTAAATTCCTTTAAGTAAACTGAATGTGTATGCATAAAACTGAGCAGAAAAGAAACAACATAAAATTGTATCATATGAAAGAAAGAGAGCACCTCAAGGCAATTGAACCTCAACTTACTATTATGAGTAAGGTACAGAAACCATAACAGCAACAAAAGTGACCACTAGGTAATTTTTAAAGATATTAAAACAGTTATTTTCTAAACCATTTATTTGGCTGGGTGTTTAACTTCTTTCAACTCTATGGACTATGGATGACATAGCTACAATAGTGAAGGTTAATTTGCCTAAATGTTAGACTCTACTGTCCAGCAGCAGCAATAACTGATAAGCCTATCTATATTTTCTTTTATTCTTTCCTCCTTTATTTGGAGACATTTGCCTAATTCTAGACTTAGGACGCTCCATTTTCCAAGGATCTCAGAGGTTCACACAGCTATGACAAAACACTATTTATTCCACCTTTTCCACTCATGGTAATTTACATTGTATGGAATTCATAACAATTTATCTGTTGAAAAAAGAGGATACAAGGGCTGTACCTCACTTACATTTTTGGAGGGGTGCAGGGAAAGAGAAGGAATCCAGACAAGTTCATAAGCCCCCTAAACCACTAATTCCAATCTTGGCATTCCCTTCCCCCAGTAATTTAAAATTTTAAGAACTTCCATATTTGTGTTTTTGTCTAATAATGCATTACATTGTGCAAAGGAATTGCTAGCAGGCCAATGGTTTCTCCTCATTATGCCAAGGGGAGATCAAGGGAGACATTTCTGCTTGGCCAGCTGCCTTTGCTTCTGTGAACCATTGGGAAAGCAGAGGGAAGGGAGAGGAAACAGCCAATTTAGAAGTGCTTTGGTTTAAAATGGAACAGAAAAGAATGATTGGATTGATTGCTGATTTTATTTAGTTCTTTTTTGTACAGAGCGGATATGCATATTTTATCTTAACAATAACCAATCATATATTAGAAAGTCAATTATGAAAGAAAATTATTAATTGCTTATTTGTATACAACTTTTATAAACATTTGTATTCAATTATTATATACAACTTTCCAATAATAATGGCTCTCATATTAATTGCTTTTCAAAAGCAACTTACAATCACAGTATTATATTATTAATTTTTTAGACCCTGTCTTTTCTACATGGCACTGAAAGCATCATATGCCAAGTTCCAGGCATATTGCCATCCAGGCACTTAACAGAAGCAGCCCTTCTTAGCTTCAGCAGGACTGCTGCATAACTGCCTTCAAAACATACTTTTCCCTGACAACAAATAATTAGAAAGTACATAGGCAAACTATACTTGAACAACAATTACTATGGCGGCCAAACTGAAGGAGGAGGATTGCAATTAATAGGAGTCTATTCCTGAGGCTTCTCCAGACTCCATACCACTGTGGATCTTCATGTGTCCACAAAATGCTAAGCTGTCTTATATAGCCATTAACAGCAAGCAGAACAATCACAGGTATGGCTTCAGCACCCAAGTTGTCAAGAAAACCCAATCTATGCCAGTGAAGATGGAAACTTGAAGCATGGTTCAAGTCAGAAGACATGTCACCATAGTGTTTAATGATTCATTAAATCATAAATCTGAATTATAAATTAGACTTCCTTCAAAAAATTCTTAAAGAACATTCTAACAAGGTTGTGGTGTCAAGAAAAGAACCACCACCTGAAATCAGGCAAAGAAATCATGTGCCAGTGCAGCCCCATAATGTACAGCCCACGCTATAGAAGAAAGTCCAATTCTCTTGTGAGTGTTTTCAGTTAGAGAAGGGGAATAAAGATACTGGTGTGTGAGCTACCTTCTTTCTGTGCAACCACTGGCACAACTCTGTGACTGAGTTCACATGATTCAACAACCCATCCAGGGTAACTAGCCACTTACTTCAGAACTTCAGGTGGATTGTTCTGGGACTGCTGAAGATGGGATGGGCTGTTGTGTCTTTTCAACCCAGGCATCTGACCCCATTGCGGGTATGAGGAAGTGGCAGACAAGCAACAGTGTTCCTTGCTGCTCTTGCCAACCTCACCCAGGACACCACCAGTAGCAGCACTCCACAAGAGCTAAGAAGAACTTCAGAGTAAGTGTTGGGGGCTTGGTCTCACCTAGACCAACCATATCCCATTCTGCAGCTACCACTGCTTGTTTGCCACTTAACCCCTTTATTTCTTGAAATCATTTTTCACATTCTCCAAAATGAAAACCAATAGAAGCCCCTTCAAAGTACTAGAGCAGCTGTCACTGATTTGCTACTTTTAAAAAAATGCCCAAGATTTGAGTATTTTTTGTTATTTTCCCCTTTTTTGGCAGAGTTGTACTATTGCAACTATTCCAAATGTGTAGCCTCGATATGTCAATGCCCTGTCAAAGCACAGGAGGCACCATATGTGGACCCTGACAAAGCAAGGCTACAAATAGTTATTTTTCTACTTCGCTTCTTATTTGACAGCTGTCAAGTCATGAGAAGATATTTGCTGGAAAAGATGGTAGTGTGTAAATTATACCCTTCCCAGCAAGATCCTCTAATTTTTCTTTGGAACTGACTGTTCTCAATGCCCTCCATTTCTTTCACCTTTTCCAAAGACTCTAGGTGATCTGGACAATGGAGAATTTGAAGTCACTTATGTTTAAACCTATTTATGAGAGCCCAGAGTTTTGACAGCAGTCAAAGAGCAGGCTTCCTTTTAAAATGGAGGTTTTTTTCAAGATGGGGGGGGGGGTTTGACAGAGGCATATGAAGCCATGACATTCCCAAAAAACAATATCAGACAAAAGGAGAGGGGCAACAACTACAAAAGGGCTTGTGCTTAGTTCAGAGTCAGAAGACAAGGCAAATCCTGCTGTGCCATCTTCTGAAATAACAGCAGAAAACCCAGGGGGAAGAGGCAGGAGACAAATTCATGATGAACCTAATCACCTAGTTTTTGTATGCATATTTCAAATCCAATGAAACCTTGAAAGAGATTTAAAGCCACATGCAAAGAGAATGACTACTCAGAAGATCCTAAGTTAAATAATCAAAAACATATTTACCTTTTTTGCTGCATGGATGTCAAAAAATGGTTTGTTACGAACGCTAAAAGGTTCTTGTGCTTTGTCAATTTGGCCAGTCTTCATTTTGTCATGCCGTGGACATACAATCTCTTTTTCTATACATGACAGACGAATGTTAAAGTCACAGTCCCCAACTGGTTGCCCCTGCAAATTAAAATATCAACATGTCATGAATATACACTTAATTAGCTGATTGAATGATTGCATTGTATTTGTACCCCTTACCAAAATGCAGCACTCAAGTTAGTGTACATTTATAAAATCTAAATATCATGTATCAAATTATGACTTAACACTGTTCTAGAATCAAACAGCATTCATCTAGAACAACCATCACTAATGTTCTTGTAAGATAACACTGATAGCAAAATCAAAAATGTCAGAAAGAGATATAATTTCACAATTTTTTTACTTTAACAAAGATGTGCACAATTCAAATCATTCTGAGGACTACTTTACACTTCTAGTGATTCAGGAGATCACTGCTACAGCCTATCGCTTACTTGAGTTTTGCTGACAGAAACGCCCTCCTCCTGCCTCCTCTGGTACCATTGCTCCCTAAGAGTCATGCAGCATTTAGCCTTCTTCTCTGAAGGAAGCTCCCTTAGATCCCAAATGTCTGGGACCTTCAACAAGCTCAGAGCCTTACGATGCTGTGGGCCTTGCCCTCTGTTGTGGCCTCTAACTTTCCCTCCGAAAAGGGGTCTTCTAATGAGGGCATGAGATTTGCTGTGTATGACAGTGTCAGCTTACATGGTTTTGTACCATGTACAAAGTATGACAACCTTGTGCACAACGCAGTGGACAACCTTGTGGACAACCTTGTGGACAACTGCTTGAATAGCTAAATGGAATGAAAGAAATGGAAGCCAACTATTACTGACTATAACCCGTCTATAAGACAACTGTGCCTCTGAATCAGGAATGTAAAGGAGATGTAGTAAATATGTCCATTCCAACACATATGCACACACTTTTACTCTAAGTCTTAGATGTCATAGAGCGGTGGGATAGCTCCACAAACAAAGGAAAGGGGCTACAATCAGGCAGATTTTGCAACCCTAATCTAACAGAATCTGTGAGGAACAGCATGGCCAAGCTTATCTGAAATTGTAATGATTGTCCTGTCAAGAAATTTGATCAAGCAACTGCAACTGTGGCCAGTCGCTCTTGCTAAATGGATAGTAGTAACCAGAGAACCTAAGCAGTTTCCCTCCCAAACTTATTCCTCTCTTCCTTTCAACAAGTCATGTTTCCCTTTTTTGCTCTAAGCTACTTTATAACTCTGCCTCAATTTCCTTTGCTCCTTTAAAAATGCCTTCTAGATACAAATCTTTGAATTTAAACCCTATTCCTGCTTTTCCCCAGACTGTTTCATATGAATCAGCTGGCAGACAGCTACTAGCAAGTAATTACAGAATCAAGGGGTTTCCTGTCTGACCATGGTACGTTTCTTTACTGATATGGTTATGTTATCTTTATTCTGTCTTAAACTGTTCTCTGAAATTTAAGTTCATATGAGAAAATTAACATCTGATAAAATTACAAAACCTTATTCAGTATCCAAAGCAAAACAACCTGCAATAAAATTACCTATTCTGAACATTTGACATGTTAATGATTCAGCATGTTGAAATGCATTTAGCACCTGAATTCATTTATGGCTCAAATAATTCCCTTACACTTTTAAAGTAACTCATAGGGTTTCTACTAATACCCTGGCTAAGCAAATCCAGTGCTACAAATAAGGCAAGCCACGACATGCAACATGATGCTCACGAGTACCAATATGTACCTAAACATCTTTTGTGGTACCTACGAAGGTGCCCTTTCCCCTCCTTTTATTTACTGGAAGGGGCCCTAAAGGCCATCTGGTCCAACCCCCTGCTGTTCCCTGTATCTGGGCAGTGCAGTTTCCATGTCCCTTGTTTGGTCCCTCCTGACCTTGCCAAACAACCTGGCAGTGCCCGTGAGTGAAATTTCCACCCTTTATTCTTGCCTATGGACTGCAGCAGCCTCCTCCTAATTAGTCCACTGCGGGCCTAAGGCAGGTTCCTCCTTTCCCTTCCCAAGTGTACCTGTAGCAGTTCCCAGGTGCTCTAGTCCCCCACAAAGACTTTTTATTAATGAAAATAAACAGTTTTGTTGCAATTCCCCCTTTCTCCCTCCATGTATTTTCATATTCTCTCCATTTCCAAAAGTAAATAGGAAGATGGACACAGTGCTGGACCAATGGGAATAAAGTAAGCAATGATATGTCTGTTCCAATAATGCTGAGGGCAGTAAAGACTGAAGGCTAGAAATGGTCTGACACCAGTTCTATGGCCTCTCTTGCCAGGGGACTTTATGGTGTTTCTGTATCAAAAATAATAAAATGGTGACTCTGATGACCAAGGAATTAATGGTGAAGATGAAAACGTTCGAACAGACTATTTTTTTCTATCTGAGGTTTCAGAAATCTAATCCTATCTTACAAGAACTTTGGAACTGGGTCTGTACAATACAACAGACCCAGAACAGTAAGATTTCAAAATGTTTTCTTCTGTTCTGTGAACCTGCCCTGAAAGAGACTGAGAATAAATTGGTCACAAAGGAGGAGGAAAGGAAAAAAGAGATTTCTGTGAAATATGTTTCTGTTGGTACTAAATTGTACTGGGAATCAGTATACCTTTGCACTGAGCCCCAGTACACCTCTGCTATGTGCTCCGTCATTTGGTAAGATTACTTGTCTTTTCTGACTAGCCATACCTCCTATGGCAGCCATTTTGTGGTGGTGCCCAAGACAGTTTCTCAAAATTAACACAAGTGCCTACAGGCCTGAACAGGTTGCCTATCCTGCTGTAGGATGCTGAGACTTTTCCAACAGAAATCTCTCTCTCTCTCTCTCTCGCTTGCACACACGCACAGAGAGAGAGAGAGAGAGAGAGAATCATAAATGTTCCTATGACAGTATAAAGTTAGACAAAGTGGAGATGCCACTAAACCATGAATGTTATATAGCAATAAACACTGTATCAATCATTCTAGGTAATAAAATTGAGGCAGGAGTACATGTTATCTAATGCTCATTCCTGCAAAAGCTCTCCTCCTATTAGCATAATAAAAAGTCACAGGTTTAGCACCACAGTGAAATGAAATCTAATTCCCAGAGCTATACAGCAAACTTTTCAGGAACTGAACCAAATTGGTTTCATGTTCTTCATCATGTATTTGATATCACTCAACAGATAAGTGGCATGGGACAGAAAACACAACTAGAATATTATCATCACAAAATGGTATTCCTTCCATTTAAAGTGAACGTTAATGGCAGTTACCATTTATGTTGCCAAAGCAAATGCAGACTGCTGATGCACAAAATGAATGCTAATTTAATAAATATCACTAAAATAGGTGAACCTTACAAAAAAAAGACTTGTAAAAATCCACAGAGATACTTTAGTATGCTCGCTAGGTTTTGTTTTGTTTTCGTTTTTACTTTGAATGAAAAACCATTCCAGATCATGAAATTCATTTTAAATTTCCCACATCATAGGGAAACATAACTGGAGAAACAGAAGATTAAAACTACCTTGAAGAGTGGAACCAACCACTCATTTCTTTGGATTCAGGCTTTAGAAAAAATTAATGCAATAGCGTACTTTTAACCTTCCTTTTAAGCCTTTTTCCTTCACTATTGGACAACAATTGAACTAAAGTGAATGCTAAAGAAGAATAAAGAGACTGCAGAAAAGTTGCATTAATTTGTTGCATCTATGTTCAGCTCAGAAGATGTAGTACCACAGTATTTTCAGGGAAGGAGGTTGAGGAACTGAAACAAATACCAATGATAGCATCTGGAAGCTCTGGGCCTTATTAAAAAATTAAACATTAACAAATCACCAGTGTAATGAAACAAGAGATTTCAAGTAACTCAAATGTGAAAATGCTGATGTATCCCTGAGATCAGCCTCTGTACTAAAGAGCTGGAAAGTAGCCAGTGTGTCATCAATTACTTAAAAAGGATCAAGGGGGTGATCCAGAAAATCGCAATCCACAAAATTTAATGTCTGTTCTGGGTTAGCTGGTGAAAATTATTACTAAATACAAAATTAACAAGCATATACTAGAACAAGTCTTACTTGAAGAAAAGGCAAGATGCTTCTCCAAAGGTAAGTTATCACTATCTAATGCAAAATAGCATGTGGATATGGGTGTTCCAGTGAATTACTGTGTACTCCATCTTTCAACAAAATCATTAGGAAAGTGATTGAAAATAAAAGGGCTAGAATCATAATGCCTTTATATAAATCTGGTGCACCCACACTTAGGGCACCATGCAGTTTTGGTCAACCTATCTCAGAATGGGTATTATACGATGGAAACAGTCCACAAAATAATTAGGAGGCTAGAACAACTAGAGGGCTGAGGAACAGAGATTGGTTTTTGCTCAAATGTCCTGTTTGCAGGCTTCCTACTGGCACCTAGTTTCTCTGAGTGGGAAACAGAATGTTGGAACAGACATGCCTTTCATCTTTCAGTAGGGCTCTTCCTATGTTCTTGGTAAATCTATTATCGATAGCTATTAACCACTTTCTAATTGTTTATTTTTATGGTGTTTTTACTTCTGGTGTTTTTATTTTTATGGTGTTTACAGTGATTCCTAAGGCCTGAATCAAGGTGAGGCATATGCAGGAACTGGATAGAATGAAGAAAGGAAGCATAAGGAGAGCATGCATGTTGAGAACTGTAATGAAGTTACAGTTAAGCTGCAGAGGAGGGAAGGGAGTGACGCTGTTAAAACAGGAAAGGTCAGTCCCTTAGAATCCATTAGAGTAGATTTACTGGGCACTATCCAATGTTATCTGTGTGCTAGCAAGACCAACTAGCTTGCATTTCACAAGGTGACTGGAAAGAGCAGAAACAGTCATTTTCAGAACAGTAGAACTCACAGAATGATGGCATGTCTTCCTTTGGAAATAAGCATTTCCACCCGTTTCCAGTGGTGCTTTCAGAAACTATCATTTCTGCTGCAACAGTGGTGGTGTATATGCAGCAGAACCAGCAGAAGTTCAGAAGCAGTATTAGATACTGCCTGCTGAGGTGGCAAGCCAAGCCTGAAAAGATATCTCAGCCGAGTTTGGGCTACAGTTGGTGTGGGAAAG